CTGACTCTCTGTCTCTCTGTCTCTCTCTCTGTCTGTCTGTCTCTCTCTCTGTCTGTCTGACTCTCTGTCTGTCTCTCTGTCTCTCTGTCTGTCTGTCTGTCTGTCTCTCTCTCTGTCTGTCTGACTCTCTGTCTGTCTCTCTGTCTCTCTGTCTGTCTGTCTGTCTGTCTCTCTCTCTGTCTTACCTGTCTGTCTGTTTGTCTGTCTCTCTGTCTGTCTCATTCTTACCGGTAACAGATGACCATGGCGATGGCCATGGCAACCAGCAACAGTATGGCCATGGAGACGAGGACAGAGGTGACCACCAGCTGAGACTGAGACATCCCTGTGAGAGGAGACACAGCACATCACAACARCAAACAAACAACAAACAAACAAACAGTAAACAACATCAGATCCATACCGTCGGGCTGGGTGCTGAAGATCCTTGTGGTACTGAAGGGTCCATACCCGACCTGGGAGCGGGCTCGGACCTGGACCTGGTACTGTGTGGCCCTCTGCAGGCCCTTCAGGACCACAGAAGAAGACTTGCTGGACACGTACTGCCACTGACCCACCTCCTCTCYGTCCCTACAACAGTAGCGCAGCTCGTAGTCCAGGACCTGGTGCTGGTTCTGCAGGACCGGGCGGGTCCACTCCACTGACAGAGTGTCCTCTGAGACCCCCACCTTCCTCAGACCAGAGACCGCAGGAGGAACTGGACAGACCATCAGGAAACTTCACATCAGAAGACCAGAGGGTCTGAAAGGCATGCTGGGTAATGTAGTCTGTTACCATCTCTGCTGGTGGTGACGTTCAGACTGACAGAGGCCGGCTCTGATTGGCTGACAGCTGAGACCCCGTTCAGTGATTGGATGGTGAACATGTACTTGGTTTGTGGGCGGAGCCCCCAGATAATGACACGGCGCTGAGTCAGACTGCGCTGCATGGGCCGGTACAGAACGCTGTCATCACACGGAGAACAGGAACTGACCAATCCCTGAAGAGCAAGGAGGAAGGGGTGGAGTCAGGAGAAGACTGCACTGGTTACTGGTCTGACTAGTCATTAGACTGGATACTGGTCTGACTACTTTCTAAACTGGTTATAGACTAGACTTGTTACTGGTCTGACTAGACTCTAGACTGGATACTGGTATGACTGGTTACTGGTCTGACTGGTTACTGGTCTGACTAGACTCTAGACTGGATACTGGTCTGACTAGTTTCTAGACTGGATACTGGTCTGACTATGCTTCAGACTGGTGATAGACTAGACTTGTTACTGGTCTGACTAGTCTCTGGACTTGATACTGGTATGACTGGTTACTGGTCTGACTGGTTACTGGTCTGACTAGACTCTAGACTGGATACTGGTCTGACTAGTTTCTAGACTGGATACTGGTCTGACTATGCTTCAGAATGGTTATAGACTAGAATGGTTACAGGCCTAGAAACTAGTAACCAGTCTAAAGATTTGTCAGACCAGTAACCAGTACAGAGACTAGTCAGAATTGTAACTAGTCTAAATGGTTTGATTTCTCTGGTCTAACTGGTCTAATTTCTGTGGTTTCTCTGGTCTAACTGGTCTCATTTCTGTTGTTTCTCTGGTTTAACTGGTCTAATTTCTGTAGTTTCTCTGGTTTAACTGGTCTAATTTCTGTTGTTTCTCTGGTCTAACTGGTCTCATTTCTGTGGTTTCTCTGGTTTAACTGGTCTAATTTCTGTTGTTTCTCTGGTCTAACTGGTCCAATATCTGTGGTTTAACTGGTCTAATTTCTGTTGTTTAACTGGTTTAACTGGTCTAATTTCTGTAGTTTCTCTGGTTTAACTGGTCTAATTTCTGTTGTTTCTCTGGTTTAACTGGTCTAATTTCTGTGGTTTAACTGGTCTAATTTCTGTGGTTTAACTGGTCTAATTTCTGTGGTTTAACTGGTCTAATTTCTGTGGTTTAACTGGTCTAATT